GGGTACTGAATCTCAGTAACAGCGACTTCCCAGTCATCCGCAAGCCTGATGCATTGTGGGAGTTTAACTCGATACTCGGACAAAGTATTATCAGGAAAAACACTCATGGAGCTATTAGAAGGGAGCCAGAGATAAAACTGTGTTTTCTCCATGACGGCCAGTGATAAAATGATCAATAAATTACAAAACCCTCCCTTTATCAACAAGAGTCATGTGCATAAATTATGTTTTATTCAAATAAACAATAGAGAATTACAACGATTGGACTGCACTAGCTGGAACCCAGGAATTAAACTTWTCGGGATATCCTCTCCACTTGACAAAATATTCTACTTTGGATTTCCTTTTGCGCTTTTTAATCACTTTTTCAATGTGATATAAATCGTCCTCTTTTTGARCTTTCTGGAGCTCTTGCTCGTAAAAAACTCCCCCTAAAACCTCATCCTGTTGATCTTTGATGCGATAGACCGGTGGTTTTCTTGGTATCCGCTCGCTGACGATAAATATTTCTCTGCTCCAGTTCGGCGTATATCCCTTTTCAAAGGTTTTTTTGACTTTGCTGATTCTCACTCTATCGCCCACGTGAAATTTAAAGCGAGCAATAGGACCCGATATCGTTTTACCATACAAAGTATGCCAAACGGTGCTTTCGTTTTTCTTGTTCACTTGAGAGGGTTTCATCTTGATACTGCGGTGATAGCTGCTGTTGTACGATTTGAGCAGTTGAGGTAAAATGTCAATATATTTCCAGGTATTTTTGTAAGTAAAGTAGCGATACATCTTATTTTTCAAAGTGCGGTTAAATCGCTCGATCACCGAGGCTTTGGTTTCACTATTAGTWACAAAAAAGTGAACATTTTTACTCTTGAGATAATTCTGAACCGTACGGTTTAGAAATTCAGTTCCGTGATCCGATTGTAGCTTGGCGGGAATCCTGCCTGTTTTGAATATTTTCATTAACGCCTGCTTGAGTTCKTCTCCRGTCTTAGTCTTGAGTGGAATAGCAAAGCCATATTTTGACAGAATATCGATGACGGTTAAAAGATAACGATAGCCCTTGTTAACTTTGCTCAACGAGCTCAGGTCTACGAGATCAGCTTGAAATTGATCATCTTTACCTCCTACAATCACTCGATTTCTTGGATAGGAGCGTGGTGCAGGTTTGTGTAAAGTATACGTTTCCTGTTTCTCTARCCAGTCTTTGACTTGATTAAGCGTGATTTTCTTRTRCCCTTGTTCTCTTGCAGCATGCAAAACAGCYGCCGGACYCGAAAAGCTTGCTCCGCTTTGAAGGTTGTAATAAATCTCGCTCAGAATCTTTTCCATCGCAGAATTCACTACTCTTAACTATAATCTTCCCACCACAGCAAGCCCAAATACACCGAATTCGAGAGAATAATCGTTCAAGTGTAAGTTGTAATGGAGCAGGAAGGCAACCCATGTTCSCTCAGTGACCAGGTGAAGCAAATGAAGCCTCCACTAATGTATACACATGCTTTATATCAAAGATAGGAGTAAAGCTCGTCCCATTCCCTCTCGGTCAATCGCAGCTCTTCCACAAATCGAACAAAGGCCAGCATTCTACCAATATTACTTTTCATCTGACCATAGTCATACATCTGTTTTAAATCATTCACTCGATTCTTTGAATGAMATTCAAATTTCAACTTCAATTGCTCAAAATTTGTTTCAAAACGGATTCTAGTAGCGATRAATCGTAATAC